GGTGAAACCCCATCTCTACTGAAAATACAAAAATTAGCCAAGCGTGTTGGCAGGCACCTGTGATCTCAGCTACTTGGGAGGCTGAGGCACAAGAATCGCTGGAACCCAGGAGACAGAGGTTACAAGGAGCTGAGATAGCGCCACTGCACTCCAGCCTGGGCAATAAGGCGAGACTCAGTCTAAAATTAAAAATAAAAAAAATATTAGCAGGATGTGGTGGCATGTGCCTGTAGTCCTAGCTGCTCAGGAAGCTGAAGTGGGAAGATCACTTGAGCCAAGGAGCTTGAGGATGCAGTGAGCCAGAACTGCACCACTGCCTTCCAGCCTGGGCAACAGAGTGAGGTCCTGTCTCAAAGCAAGCAAACAACAAAAAAAGTAAACCTACAGTAGAGTTGCAAAGGTAGTACAAAGTGCTTTCTTAAAATTTTTATTCAGCTTTCCTTAATGTTACACATATATAACCATAGTACAATTTTCAAAATTAAGAAATTAAAGCTGGTACAATACTATTTACTAAACTGCAGACTTTATTTGGATTTCCTCAGCTTTTCTGCTAATTTCTTTTTTTTGAGATAGGGTCTCGCTCTATCACCTAGGCTGCAGTATGACTGCATGATCTCAGCTCACTGCAACCTCTGCCTTGATCCTCCTGCTTCAGGCTCCCAAGTAGCTCAGACTACAAGCATGTGCCACAACACCTGTCTAATTTTTGTGTCTTTTGTAGAGATGGGGTTTCACCATGTTGCTCAGGCTGGTCTCAAACTCCTGGGCTCAGGCAATCCACCCTCTGCCTCTCAAACTGCTGGGATTATAGGTGTGAGCTATTGTACCCACCTAATGTCTTCTTTCTGTTACAGGACCCAGTAGAAAGTTCCACATCTGGAAATCTTTTTCTTTCTTTATATCTATCACTGACATATTACCTACTCTTTAAAGATTTTGCAAAAGGCATAAATTTGAAAATTATATCCTCACTAATCTAATTCAAGTCATTGATACAACTATTTAACAGGATAGAGTTACCTTAGTGTAGCCTAGATCAGTGGCTCTCAACCATAACTGCATGTTAGAATCACCTGAGTAAGGCCGGGCGCGGTGGCTCAAGCCTGTAATCCCAGCACTTTGGGAGGCCGAGGCGGGTGGATCACGAGGTCAAGAAATCGAGACCATCCTGGTCAACATGGTGAAACCCCGTCTCTACTAAAAATACAAAAATTAGCTGGGCATGATGGTGCGTGCCTGTAGTCCCAGCTACTCAGGAGGCTGAGGCCGGAGAATTGCTTGAACCCAGGAGGCGGAGGTTGCGGTGAGCCGCGATCGTGCCATTGCACTCCAGTCTGGGCAACAACAGCGAAACTCCGTCTCAAAAAAAAAAAAAAAAAAAAAAAAAAAAAAAAAAAATCCCTTTAATATTTTTTTTTTTTTTTTTTTTTTTTTTTTTTTTTATAAAAAATTTTTTTTTTTTTTTTTTTTTTTTTTTTTTTTTTTTTTGGGATGGAGTCTCGTTCCGTCGCCAGGCTGGAGTGCAGTGGCACGATCTCGGCTCTCTGCAACCTCTACCTCCGGGTTCAAACTATTCTGCTGCCTCAGCCTCTCGAATAGCTGCGACTACAGGCACGCGCCACCATACCCAGCTAATTTTTGTATTTTTAGTAGAGACGGGGTTTCACCACGTTGGCCAGGAGGGTCGCGAACTCCTGACCTCGTGACCTGCCCGCCTCGGCCTCCCAAAGTGATGGGATAACAGGCGTGAGCCACTGTGCACGGCCTTGGACTTGCCTCATCTTTATGTATACTTTTTGACAAGGAACTAAGAAAAATAACTTGGAGGAAGACAAGGGAGACTGAGTCCAGAACTAAAATGAGAAGCACATGGTTCCTTCATCCTCTATCACCATCAGGCTAAAGAGACTGAGGAAGTATCATATATGAGGAGTGCGTCAAGAGCAAACAAACATCATCGCAAATGGGATGTGAAAATCGAGAAATCTGAGCCAGGTTAACAACAACAAAAAGCAGACCACCACGCCAAACTTCCTCGGGTCCCATCCCAGGTTGGCAACTCAGCGTCCGGGAGGAATCCCCCGAAAAGCGCGCCGGCCCTACTGGCCTCATTCCCTACCTCCTGGAGGTTCGGAGTCCCGCTCCTTTCCCTCGGCGGTACAACCCCCGTGCCGGTACGGACACCGTCCCTCACCGTGAGTAGCGGACGAGTTCTAACGAGACGACCGGCACACACCGACCGAGGCAGCCTCCAAAGCCACAGTCGAAGAAGGCTCTAGTCGTCCGGCAGGAAACGACTCAACGCGCAGCCGCCGCGGCCTCCAACCGCCGGCCGGCAGAGGGGCGCTAGGCAGCCTGGATCCGCTCGCCGCGGTCAGGAGGAGGAGGAGCAGGAGGAAGCGAGCCGCATCGTCGCGGCGACAAGCCCAGGGAGATAGGTTGTCGTGAGGCTCAACCCGCCACCCTGGCAATGCCAGTCAAACGGCAAGTCCCGACTCGCTTTGCCTGTCCCTCTCCTGCCCCTGCAGCCGACAGGAATGGAGCAATCCCGCGAGGGGAATTGTGGGAGGCTCACGCACTAGGGTTGGAGGATGCTGGGGTCCGGCGGCGGTTGGTGGCCTTGGGGGCGGGGTAGGGTGGAGGAGAGAGGAGGTGGAGGAGCTGGAGGAGGTACAGACTCGGACAGCTGAAGGTACGCTTGAGGGCCTGTGCGGGTTTGTGGGACCGCATGAGGAGGTGTCCCTGGGTGGGCGCCTACCTTCTGGCTGGCGCGCGGGGCGGCCGAAGGTGGTGGTTGGTGGGAGCAGCCAGCGACGAGCCGGGAGACACCCGTACGCGTGCGGGCAGGCGTGCGCGCTACGCAGCCAGAGTCGGGCGGAGTGGGGGACGGTGGGGAAGAACGCGAGGAGGGAGGAGTGGGAGGTGGGGGGGCGCGAGGCGCCCTTCGCTCCCTCCCTCCGGAGGAGCTGCCGCCGCCGCTGCCGCCGCTCTGCTGCCGCCGCCGCCGCCGCTCCCGCCGCCATTTTGGGTTCGCTTTGCGGAGGGGGAGACGATCCCAGTCTCGGTTGCGGGACCCGCCTCCCCTCAGTTTGCCCCCTTTAGCCCTCCACCTTTCCCTTCTCCTCTCTCGCATTTCCGCCAGTCCGCTCACCCGCCGGCCGCCTCCTGACAAGCGGGAGGAATCCGCCGTGGACCCAGGAGCCTGGCGGCCACCCCCTCTTCCCCACTTCCCTGCACTCTCATCGCTCTCGGCCTGGGCCTCCGACACGGTGAGTAGAACGGTTTGGGCAGGCCTTGGGGCCTAAGCACTCTCTCAGCGATGGAATCCTGGGCTTCCTGGGAGCCACTGTCATCTCGCGGACCTGGACCTCCGGGAGAGCAGTGGTGAAGATGGGGGAAGGGAGAGCAGGGAGGGGGTTCCTGAGCCTACCGGGAAGTCCCTCCAGGCGGGGTGAAGGGGTGTCCCTGACAGACGGACTCCCGGCTCCGGGGAGGGGGCTGGAAAGTAAGCGAGTGGAGGCGGAGTCGCTGTGCCCCTGACGGGTTAGTTTGTGTTTGTAGGCATGATCGGAGCCTCCCGCATAGTCCAGTTTGTGTGTGTTTAAAGGATAAGCGTGTTCGAGGACACGATCTTGAGAGGGGAGTTGACCTGTACGACAAGGTCTGTGGTGTCCCTGCCGCGTTGAACGGTGTGTAGGAACGACGGGATGATCTCAGTGTTTCGAGTTTAATAAATGTCGCTGGTTAGTTTGTACATGGAAAGAGATGTTTTTGATCTAGAGGACAGATGGTCTGTTGGTATGTAGCGGCTGTGTTTGAGTGTGTGTGCGAGGATGGAAAGTGTTTCCGGAAGAGTTTGCCTTTGTTTGTATAAGTGTAATGGCGATAAGTTAGCTTATTTCTTGAATAAATGTTGGGAGATTCCTTGCAGGTTGATATGTGTGTGTATTTTAGGGATTGGGAGCCCTTAGTTACTTGTTGGGAAAGAGCGGTAATGGCAGTGTTCTAAACAGCATGTGTCTGTGGGGTCAGGGAGGGGAGAAAGTAGTCAGTAGTGGTCTGAAGAATAGTTTGTGTCCACTGGCGTGGTGGCTCTCACCTAATCCCAGCACTTTGGGAGGCTGAGGTGGGGGGATTTCGTGAACCCAGGAGTTGGACTAGCTTGGGCAACATAGTGAAACCTTGTTTCTACAAAAAAAGTAAAAAATTAGCCGGCCATTGTGGTGCATACCTGTATAGTTCCAGCTCTTTGGGAGGCTGAGGCAGGATGATCGCTGGAGCCCAGGAGGCAGAGGTTGCAGTGAGTTGAAATCAGGCCACTGCACTCCAGCCTGGTGACAGAGCAAGACTCTGTTTCAAAAAAAATTTTTTTAAAGAGGGGAATAATGATAGGCGACAGATAGAGGGAGTAGCCAGGGACCAGATAACATAGGGACTTAAAGACGACTAGATATCTAGTTTTGTATTTTAGGTTTTATAGGAAGCAGGGAAGTGACTTGATCTAATATATACACTTTGAAAAACAAGAATGAGGCAATCACGTTGACCAGTTAAGACGCTATTGTGATAGTTGAGGCACGATCCAATTGGAGGGTTGAACCTAGAGTGTACTGGTAGGTGGATTTGGGATACATTTTGAAGGTAGCGGAGATAATAACTTGCTGATGGTTTGGATGTGGGATCAGAGTAAAAGAGGAGTCCTGGATGACTTCAGTGATGGCCTGAGCAGTTGGATGCTTTTTTCTTTGATGTGGAACACTGGGAGAAGCAAATTGTAGGCAGTAGAGAAATTAGGAATTTGGTTTGAATATACAGTTATCCCTTGGTATCTGTGAGGGTTTGGTTCCCCTGAGGATACCAAAATCCATGAATACTCCAGTCCCTTATATAAGATGTAGACTATTTGCATGTAATCTATGCATATCCTTTTGAATACTTAAAATTTTTTTTTTTTTTTTTTTTTTTTTTTTTTTTTTTTTTAGGTAGGGTCTGCTCTGTCATCCAGGCTGGAGTGCAGTGGCATGGTCATAGCTCACTGCAACCTCAAACACCTGAGGTAAAGAAAGCTGTTTTCCCACTCAGCCTCCTGAGTAGATGGGTACAGATTCACAACACCATATTCAGCCAATTTTTCTTTGTTTTTGAAGAAATGGAATCTCACTTTGTTGCCCAGGCTGGTCTTGAACTCCCTCTTTGTATACATTTTTAAAAACATTTTTGCTGAGATGGAATCTTGCTCTGTCGCCCTAGTTGGAGTGCAGTGGTGCAATCTCAACTCCCTGCAATCTCCGCCTCTTTGGTTCAAGTGATTCTCATGTGTCAGCCTCCCAAGTAGCTGAGAGTACAGTCGTGTTCCATCATGCTTGTCAAATTTTGTTTTGTTTTGTTTTTTTAGATGGAATTTCGCTCTTGTTGCTCAGACTAGAGTACAGTGGTGTGATCTCAGCTCACTGCAACCTCCGCCTCCCAAGTTCAAGTGATTCTCCTGCCTCAGCCTCCTGAGTAGCTGGGATTACAGGTGTGTGCTCCCACACCCGGCTAATTTTTATATTTTTAGTAGAGATGGGTTTTCACCATGTTGGCTGGGTGGGTCTCAAACTCCTGACCTCAGGTGATCCACCCATCTCAGCCTCCTGAGTAGCTGGGACTCCAGAAACATACCACCACACCTGGCTAATTTTTTTGTTTGTTTGTTTAGTAGAGATGAGGTTTCGCTATGTTGGTCAGGCTGGTCTCAAACGCCTGACCTCAAATGATCAGCCTTCCAGAGTGCTGGGATTACAGGTGATTACAGGCGTGACCCACCACATCTGGCCTGTTGGATATTTTTTACGTTGGGAAAAATTTATCCAGATCGCTAGGACTAAAAGAATCTTTTGATAATTTTAGGTCTAATCCCATCCTGGCCGAAAACTTTAACATGTTCTAACTAGTCAAGATGTAGAGACAAACATAAAATGGTTGTTGAACAAATATATTTTTATCTTCTAAATAAAATAGCTTTGTGTGTCAGAGATCAGAACGCTCATTTTACCTGATACTAAGAACCAGAATGCTGGGTGGCTAGAATGGTCATTACCTTCCTAGATACCCATTGTAGAAGAACACATAGGTAAAACAAATAAATAAAAGTTTAAAAAATGAGGTAAAAATTTGAAGCTCTTTACCCATTAACATGATAATCATTTCGGCTTTGAAAATTTACAGAATGAGAGTGAGAACTCAGAACAAAGATCTCTGAGGAAATAAAAAAAAAGATCAAGCTGCCTCCTAATTTTTCATTTAGTCTGTCATTGGGCATTTTCAAACTATATTTAGAGATTCTGATCTTCATCTGGAGACTTAATGAGTCGTGTAATATCTTGAATACACGTATAAGATCTTGCTAGGTGTGGTGGGTCACATCTGTAATCCCACACTTTGGGAGTATGAGGTGGGAGGATCGTTGGAGCCCAGGAGTTTGAGACCAGCCTGGGCAACATAGCAAGTCCCTATCTCTATTTTAAAAAAAAAAAAATCCTAAATGTAGAACTTAAATTTTTCCTCATATGTTCCATCCAGTTGCTTTGAGAAAATATAATTTTGAATTTTCCATCAATTGGATTTGCAGTCCCTTTCAGCTTTACGTCATCTACAGATTTGTTCTCTGGGTCTTCTAAGTCCCTGGTGGAGTTCTTGAATAGTTCAGGTCCAAAGACAGGGTCCTGTGAAACACTGTTGGAAGCTTGTCCCTCTCTCTTTTTTTTTTTTTTTCTTTTTTGGAGACAGTGTCTTGCTCTGTCACCCAAGCTGAAATGATACAGTGACACAGTCTCAGCTCACTGTAACTTCTGCCTCTTGGACCCGAGAGATTGTCTCACCTCAGCCTCTCGAGTATCGGGGACTATAGGTATGTACCACCAAGCCCAGCTAAATTTTTTTGTAGATATGTTGACATTTTTCCCAGGCTGGGAGACTTGTCTCTTGATTCCATTCAGTACTGTGTAGGTTTGGATAGGCCCTCTAATCGTAAAATCATCTAGCTCACATTTTCTCCTTGTCTTCTTCCTATTAGAATGTAAGCTTCCTGAGAACAGAACTAACTCTCGCTCTCTCTCTCTCTCTCTCTCATTCTCTCATATATCCCAAGCGTCTGAAATGGATTGAAGCATAGTTAGTATAGTTAGTGCTCAATAAATGTTTTTGAATAAACGAATTAAGGATAGCTGGGTGTGGTGGCTCATGCCTGTAACCCCAGCACTTTGGGAAGCCAAGGCAGGTGGGTATTGGAGCTCAGGAATTCAAGACCAGCTTGGGCAACATGGGGAAAGAGATGGTTCTACAAACTACAGAAGAATTAGTCAGGTGTGGTAGCACACCCCTGTGGTCCCAGCTGCTTGGAGGGCTGAAGTGGGAGGATCGCTTGAGCCTGGGAGGCAGAGATTGCAGTGAGCCGAGATCAAAGCCACTGCCCTCCATCTTGGGTAACAGAGCGAGACCCTGTCTCAAAAACGAAAAGAAGGATAGATGTGAAGAATTTGTCAGA